CGACAATGACGAAATGGCACCAGCGACGACGATGTTCAACAGGGCGACGGCACGAACGATAACGGCGCCAATGATGGCAAACACGCTGGCGATGGTGATGTCCATCTGCCGATGAGGCAGGTGATCGCGGTGATGCTGACAAGGTGGAGAAGGAAACCCGCGCGGGCGGAAATTCAACAAATCCGTCTGACTGATCATGCGCGCGCGGCGGTGCGCGCGTGTGGCCGACGTGGTATTTGTTGCAAGGGATTCGCGCCCTCGGCGCATGACAGGAGTATCGCGGGTGCACCGCGCGGTGACACGAAATCGCTGGATCTTGCAGAAGTCATAAGCATCTTATGGCTGTTGTACGACTTTAGGATGAGCGCGCGGACAGGACATGTGCAAACAGTGTGCTGCAAAACCCTTGGTTGTGTTGGGCTTGTATGCTGAAATGCTTGCAAACACACGATGTTTGGTACGAGTGTGACGTGGACGCGCGCGTGACGGCTTTGTGGTATTCGTTTGTAAGGGATCTTTTTCATAAACAAAAAAACTTACGATTGTTGCTACATGAGTGCGCGCGCATCGCATTCATTGCAGAGGAATGCGGGGGGAAAGACATTTGTTTGGCTGGGACAATATGAGTTCACATTTAGGATGGACGCTGGGCCGGAATCGTATGTACATTGCAATACGGGAAAGGGAACCGCTAACCGAGTGCATTCTTCTTTTAGAAAACAAAACCAACGTGGTGCAATCGATATGGTACAAGGCAGCGACGAGGCGGCGACGGGGCGGCGACGGCGACCACAGAGCCATCTGACCGCCAGCCAGGCCCAAACGATGGGCGGCGACGAGGCGGCGACAGGGCCGTGACGGCGTGCAGCACGGAGCCGCTAGACCGCCAGCCAGGCCCAAACGACGGGTGGCGACGAAGCGGCGACGGCGAGCACGGAACCGCCACGCCGCCAGCCAGGCTCAGTTCCTTAGAAGAAAAGTCAGACACCCTCAGTGCAAGCACTGTTTGGGTAATGTGTATAGATGTGTGGAGATATACATGTGCACAAACATACGTGTGTATGCATGCATGTATGTATGTATGTATGTATGTGTGTATGTATGTCTGCGTTTATGTATGGACTACACGTTTCCACCCTCCGAACCTCTGTCGTCCCACCTAGGAGCAGGGGGTGGAGGGTCACGAAAGAAGAGCAGAAGGAAGAGCAGGAGGAGGAGGAGGACGACGACGACGACGACGAAAAGGAAGAGGATTGGAGTGGAGGGGAAGGGTGGGAGGGAAGGAGGGAAGGAGGAAGGGATGACGTAAGAGGAGATCAACAATTGGTACAAGTTTTTGCTTGCGCCTGCACGGTGAAACCCTCGGAATAGCCCCCGGGTGAGCGGCGCACCGTCCCCAGCGCCTGTCGCGGTTCGTGGGCGGGTGGTCGCTGAAGTTGGCGGGGTATCACATGAGCTCCAATGGCGACTGCATGTGCTGGAAGGGGGTTGGCGACATCCCGACTGGGAAGTTTCCAGACAGGCAGCGGCGCAAAAAACCGGCGGTCGATGGAGAGCGGAGCGCAGACGCGGAAGTCGCCCAGAGCTGGGCGTGAGACCTGTCTGGTGGAGCGGTTGCGTGATGATCAGCACCAGGAACTCTTTCTCTCTCTCTCTCTCTCTCTTTCTCTCTCTCTCTTTCTCTCTCACACACACATGGCTGGATTCGCACGCGACGGAACACGCATATGGAGGATCGCTGTGCGTCTGGCCAAACGAGGGCCGACCGCTGGAAAGAAATGGGGCCACAGGTCATTCCAGCTCTCGCCCAAGCCAGCCACGACATATTCATCCAGCTACCAGGCGGCGGTTCGGAGGCGAGACGTTCAAGTTGGTAGGGCAATTTCTCCCAACCCGATAATTGTCTTCCCGGACAATGCGAGCAGGCCGACTCCGGGCAACCTGGCTGCTGATGTGTCACTTGGCCTCCGCCGCCTTGCCCCGGCGTTCCGCCCGCGGGCCCTCTGCAATCTTGTGACCGCCGCCTTCCGCCGGCCTTCCGCCGGCAAACGCCGAAGGCGAGACGCGCCTGGGAAGGCGAGGCCGTTTGGACCGCCCCAAACATGAGCATCTGAACATCGTTTAAGCAATCCCCAGCCCCACTGGCGTGGCCTTGGGCCGTTGACCTTTGTATCCACCCAGATGGGCATTGATGCTGTTCCTCCCAAACTCGCGGGCCCCATCCCCATCTTGGAGGGCGGGCAGGCGTGGCCGAAATAGCATGGCCAAGTGGGAATGGCGATCGAATAAACCATACTGAGCATCGGTTGGATCCTGGGGCGGTAGCAGCAACATCGGCCGACCTGCACACCACGTTCTTCCACGGGCATGGGTACATCATCACCTGGGCGTGTGAAAGATAGTTTGAAAGAATACATGCCAATCAAGCCAATATGGGGAGTCGGGCGCGAGAGCGGCGACCTGACCGATGAAGGCATGAACGGTCACATCCAATATTTGCTCGCCGCCAGCAGGACAAACGCACAGGCGGTGCAACTCTGTGTCGCCCGCGGCCCCGCATTTCGCGCACTTGGGGGTGTCCACGTGTCCACCAAATATCCACACCTCTGGGCTCGCATGCCTGTAAATGCCTGTCCAGAAAGCACCTTAAGAAAAATATGTGGTGCAGCATTCCTCGAAGGGGGGGGGCACCTCATGGATCTGAGTTCATTTCGAACATCGTTGCGCGCACAGGCCCCGAGTCCTAAAGTTTCCCCGGCCTGCTTCTGGAAATGCCGAAGGACCCCTGTCTCGAAGGAACTCCTTAAGCAAACGCGGAAAACGACAGAAGTCGAAAACAGACACATTTTCTGGTCGGCAGCACATTACCGAAGACAGACAAGCTTTTTGGATTCTGGAAGAGACCGCACCTCATGATTTCGGGAGCGTCCGATGAAAAAAAAAAAAGGGTTGGACGTTGCGCCAGCGACCCCGCTGGAAAACCAACCGATTGCCAAACATTCGAGAGCTGCACGAATGCCAGGCACTTGTACTGCTCGCAGATCAAAGCCCCAACCTTCGTCAACGCAGCTTGCTCGGCCAGGCGGCGCGCGAAAACGCGGGCGTCCAAGAGTCTCCTGGGGACACAAAACCAACATGCATGAGCCCAGGTCCGTAGGGGGGAAACGAATCTCGTTTATCCGCCGCTCTGGGCAGAAACAGGAACTGCTTCTCAACGCGAGGAAAGCCGCTGTTCGACAGTATGCTGTTTCACGATGACGGTTCACACTGCTGCCGATGTGCCACCATGGCACGGCTTCCGCCCTGAACCGCATTGGCGAAGGAATCCATGTCCCACCCGATGCGCCCCAGGGAAGCCCGAGACACTGACAAGGGTCCCAAAACTTTGCCATAGGAGTAATAAGTCCAAGAAGCGCAGCTTCCCAAGCAGCCCTGAAGTTAAACAACGTCAGGGTATACGCGCATTGCCGTGTAGATGTCAACCGAACGTCCTTCGCACATGTCATAATGATAACGGCAGTATATTAGCACGGACCGTGCCCAAAAATGCTCAAGATGGTGCGGGTTCGCGAGCCCGCCGACGGCTGCACCACGTTGCCGAAAGAGCGCCTGAGCAGCAGCAGCTCGCGGCCGCTGGCGCCGTGCGCCTCTGCTCTCGAGGTAGCACCTGGGATCGGACATGCAATGAACATATGGCGAGACCACTTCCCAACGCCGCCGCTACTCGTTGAAACCAGCGAACCCCAGTCTTCAAAATAGTGTACCCTTCTTTCTTTTTATTCTTATTAGTAGCCAGTGTATTATTAATATGACTCTGCTTGACAATAAGATTCATCAGATTATTATTCTTCGACCTTCGACACCCCCTTTCCTCCTCAAAGGCTTACCCACAGTGTCGTCGATTCCGAGTATCGCTGCTCTGGCAGAGGCAGGGCCTCCAGCAAACCTGCCCAGAAAAACCTCCAGTTTCGTGCTGGCGACGTTGGGGGAAGCGACAACCGACGCCTTCTCAACCACGACCTGAAAAGCGACGTTGGCGACGTTGGGGCGAGCCACAACCGAGCTCAGCCACCAAAGCGTGGAAGAACCTGACCTTCTCAACCACGACCTGAAACGCCCCTTCGTTTAAGATTAAGACGAACACACTTCGCAGTTCCCGTGGATCATAGATCAGAGTTGCTTATGCGAAAAAATACATGCTCAGAGATTGGGGAGGACCAACGGGTCGATCACAGGAACAACGCCTATTCTCACGGACGTGGCCGCAATGGAGCAACCAGCAACAACATCGCTGATGGCGTAGACAAGACCAGTCGACACGTTCGACATGTTCAAAAACGATTTCTTCTGTATGCAAAAAGACAGGCACTAGTGATCTGGAGGGGAAAACCTAAATCCTTCGCTCTCTGCTCTAGGAGGGGCAATGCATGCTTTTGCTGAGGTCCCAGAGCAGGGTGCCCGCGATGGGACATGCATGCTTTTGCTGAAGTCCCAAAAGAAGGTGCCCGCAGACCGGCCTTCCTTAACCTCCTCCTCGCCCCGAACAACTCGACACGATGCGACGTCTGACGCACCGTTGCAGGGAGAGGCCGCCAAATTCGGCCTATTGTTGTTGACTTCCCAACTGGATGCAAACGACCCCCAAGCGCTCCCCCCGATCTCACATCCCGAAACTGGGTCGGCATATTGGGCGAAAGCCCCCTTCCGGCTTGGTTAATCAGGCCATCTGCAGCACTTTGACCTGGTAAGGGTGCACGCCAGTGGATTCGCACATCTGCAGCATCATGCTGGAAACCTGCATGCACTGGCCAGATATGATGGCATAGAGACGCACCTGAAAACCGCCGGCCGAGAAAGCGTTGGGAGAGTAGGCATTGCGAATCCTCATAAGCATGTCGGGCGAGAGGGCCTCCAGAGGTTCTATCATCTCCAAGGGGTTCGGATCTAGGTCGGGCAACCTGTCTGCCTGTCATAACTGAGAGAAGCGAGCAACATCCGCCTCTTAAAAAAGGCCAGCGGGTCCGACACGATGTAGCCGTGCATCGAGAGCTTGGGGGTCGCCTTCCAAGCCTTGCACTCACTGGTCAAGCGGCGGGCCCTCCTTCCCCACTTGATGATGCCGTCCAGCAGCTCGATAACTCTGAACGCGAACCCCAAAGCCTAGTCTGCCGACTTGACTCAACAAGCGGGCCCAACCGGTTGCTCCATTGGGAAGTTGAGCAGCTTCACAAAGAGGAGAAAAAGGATAAGGAGGACGAGGAGGAGCATGGAAGAGGAAGAGAAGGAGGAATAGGAGGAGGAGGGAAAGGAGCCACCGAAGACCAGCAAGAAAATGCAGATGACAAGGACGGTGCAGCCGACCAGGCGATCCCTGGTCCCAAAGCCGTTTTGCAGGTCGACCCACTCGCCGAGCTCCAGAGTAAGCATCAGGGAGATGCCCCCGCGGAGCCCTGCCAGAACAGTGGGGAGGAAGAAAAACAGGAGGAAGGGAGGATGAGGAAGGACGCGCCACGGTGGGATTGTCGGAGGGAGGGAGGAAGAAGAGGAGCAGAAGGAGGAGGAGGACCAGGAGAAAGAGGAGGTGGAGGAGGATATCTCAGGCGGGCTCATTGTTTCGTCGACTTCAGCCTCTGGGTGCCGCTTGCAAGTCCTGGGGCCACCATGAGTGTATGTGAGATTCCCTAGACGGTCCTTGCACTTAGGGGTCCTCACTTGTTTTCTAAGGAAATGGGCCCGCGTATTGAACCGGCGGTATGTCGCCGCCGTCGCCGCCCCGTCGCCGCCTCGTCACCGCCATTTGTCTGAGCCTGCGTGCTGGTCCGGCGGCTATGTCGCCGCCGTCGCCGCCCCGTCGCCGCCTCGTCGCCTCCAGTCGTTTGGGCCTGCGTGTGTGTCCAGCGGCTATGTGGTCGCCATCGCCCCGCCCGGCCGCCGCCCCGCCGCACAATATAGATATATATATATACTCCTTTCTAAAAACAGAATAGACTCTACCCCCCCCTTCCCGGAGTTATCCGCCCCCCTTTCGGGTATGTGAATTATATATGATTCTGGCCACATGTCCATCCGAAATATGAATTTACACTATCCCAGGGAGGCCAGGATTGGTCCCCCTGAGTTTCCCTTGTAAAAAACTGTACTCGGGGACATTTTTTGTTCTAACATAAGACTGTTTCACGAATCCCTTGCAAAAAAATGACGAAGTGCACACGCGCGCGTCGTCGCGCGCGCACGCCGAAGTCCTTGAAAACCTTCGGTGTCGGAAGGATTTGAAAATCAAGTTTCCCAAAAACATGCGAAAACACAAGGTTTCGCAACACTGATTTGCTACAAAAAAGCTTACGCGCGAACTCTTACGAAATCTTCATGGAACCATGGTTTTTCCAAGATTTTCACAAAATGCTACCAAACGGGCTTTGCGCGCGCGCATGTCGAAACCTGTCGAGCGCCCTTGCGCGTGTGCCGTCGCGAGAATCCTCTGCAAAAGAGATTGACGAAGTGCAGACGCGCGCGTCGCCACGCGAGTGTGCCAGAATCCTTCAAAACCCATTGGTTTCGGAAGGATTTCAAAGTCGTGCGTCCAAAACACCTACAAACACACAAGGTTTCGCAACACGGATTTTCAACAAAAGCGTGCGCGCGCGCTCTTGCGTCGTCGTCGTCGTCGTCGCCGTCCTCCCTCCTCCCGCGTCGTCGTCGTCGTCGCCTACGTCGTCCTCTGCTCCTCGTGTTCGTCGTCGTCGTCGTCCTCTTTGGCGTCGTGGTCGTTTCCGTCGTCGTTGTCGCCGTGGTCGTCCTTCCTCCTCCTCCCTCGTCGTCGTCGTCCGTCGTCAGCGTCTCGTCGTCGTCCCTTTTATTTCGTCGCCGTCGTCGTCGTCGTCGTCGTTGTCGTCGTCGTCTTCACACATCCCTCGCGGTTGTCGTCGTCGGCGTCGCCGTCCTTCCTCCTTCTTCGTCGTTCGCGTGGTCGCCGTCCTCCCTCCTTCCTCGTCGTTGTCGTCGTTGCCGTCGTTGTCGCCGTCGTCGTCCTCCCTCCTCCCTCGTCGTCGTCTTCGTTGGCGACGTCGTCGCCGTCTTCGTCGTAGTCGGCGTCGGCGTCGTCGTCGTCTTCGTCGTCGTCGACGTCGGCGTCGTCGTCGTCGCCGCCGTCGTCGTCGTCGTCGGCGTCGTTGACGTCGTCGTCGTCGTCGTGGGTGTCGTCGGTGTCGTCGTCGTCGGCGTCGTCATCGTGGTCGTCGCTGTCATCGTCGTCGTCGTCGTCGTCGGCGTCGGCGTCGGCGTCGTCGTCGGTGTCGTCGTCGTTGTCGTCGTCGTTGTCGGCGTCGTCGAAGTCGTTGGCGACGTCGTCGGTGTCGTCGCTGTCGTTGTCGGCGGCGTCGTCGTCGTCGTTGTCGCTGTCGTCGTCGGCGTCGCTGTCGTTGCCAAAAGCCATTTTGTACCCACCGTCACGGTCTCAAGAGATTTTGCAAACCAATTTGCGGGTGGGTGGGTGGGATGATTGCGCGAGCAGTGGAGTTGACAACTTCAAGTTCGGCAAGTGAATTGCACCACATAGATTGCACAGCATAGATTGCACCACACAGATTGCACCACGCCGATTGCAACGCTGAGTGCACCGCAAAAAATGCACCGCATACGTTGCACCACATGTACGGCACATAATGTGTTGCACAACATGTGTTGCACCAAATATGCTGACCACATAGATTCCACCACGCATGTCGCACAACCAAGATTGCGCGACAGATGTTGCACAACATGTATTTCACCACGCAGATTGCACCAACTAGATTGGTCGACCTAGGTTTGCACAACCTAGAATGCCAGAAACACATTGTGTGGGGTCCACGCTGGCTTATATGTACATATAAATATATATATATATATATATATATATACAAGACTGCATTGGCGCTTCGCGCCAATGCACCTTGGTTCTTAAAGCTCGGCATGCAGGATAACCAAATATAGCGATGATTCATGTGTCCAGGGGGCCCCAAAAGCGCCAGATCCCGGGGGTCCGATTTTCCGGGGGGGGGGGTCCCACCCCCCCGGATTGTAAAAATATAGAAAAAGGAATATATGTAGGGAGGCATATGCCAGGGACGAACAAGTATCCTCTGGATAGGGCTGGGACCTCAGGGACCGCGGATGGAAACAACACATCGTCCGAACTCTGGGCAAGGGAATCAGGAGAAGAAGGAAGAGCAGCAGCAGCAGGAATGGGAAGTGCCCCCAACCCCTATATAGTTGTCCTTCCTCCTACGCCACAACCTCGTCCTCTTAGTACTCCCCATCAACATCATCATCATCACCATCACCATCATCAGCATCATCATCATCAGCATCATCATCATCACAATCATCATCATCATCATCATCATCATCATCATCATCATCATCATCATCATCAATATCACCATCATATCATCATCATGACCCCCCTCCTCTTGCATCCTCCATCCACCATCTTCCGTCCTCTTCTTCCTCCTCCTCCTCCTCTCCTCTTTCTCAGCCTGAGCATCACCATCATCACCATCATCATCATCAAAACCAACATTATCAGCAGCAGCAGCAACAGCAGCAGCATTAGCATCAGCATCAGCATCTGCATCATCAACAGCACCATCATCAGCAGCGTCAGTACTCTCAGCATCATCATCAGCAAATTCAATATCCTTGTATTCAGCATCATCATCACCGTCATCATCATCATCAGCATCAGCATCATTACCCCTATTGTCGTCATCGTCATCGTCATCGCCATCCTCACCATCGAAGTCAGACGCATAATCCTCATTATTATCATCATAATCATCACCAACATCGCGGCCCCAAGCATCATCATACTCATCATCAACAGCAGCAGCAACATCAGCAACATCAGCATCATCAACGTCATCGTCATCATCACCATCACCACCGCCAACATCATCATCAGCATCATCATCATTATCCTCAGCATCAGCATGACCATCCTCCTTCTCCCTCCGCCCTCCTCCCTCCGCTCTCCTTCCCCGTCCCTTCTCCTCTCCATCCTTTTCCTCGCCATCTTCCTCCTCCTCCACCTCCTCCTTCTCCTCCTTGTCCTTATCCCCGCTCATCCTCATCCGTCCTCCCTCCTCCCTGTTCCCTCCCCGGTCCTCCTTCATCACCGTGCTCCCTTATGCTTCTCCTCCTCCTGTTCCTTCTCCTCCTCGTCCTCCTCCTCCTCCTCCTTCTGCTGCTCCTCCTCCCCCCTCTCTCCATCCCTCCGTCTCTCCTGTGTTGGTGCAACTTGCACCACGCAGCACGCGTTACTTGAATGCGAACGTACATGCGCATGGTGCCGTGCTCGGCTTCGGACAACGCCACGCGGACTGCTATGCGCTGACACGGACATCCACACATACCACTAGACCACCCGATGGGGGCAAATAAATGCCTATCCGGCTCGTTTCAGAAACCTGCACTTCAAAAAGTGCGCATCTCGTACTATATGTACTTTGCCACCATTCCGCAGGCTTCGGCTGGCAGGGGGGGCCTTGTGTATGTCCGTCAGTTCCAGCAGGCCTTCCGCAGCATTCCGCCGAGGAAGACAAGGCAGCTTCTCGATCCCTCGAAAGCGACGCCATTTCTGGAGCGCCCGATTTACTTGGCGGGCAGGCGCACTGCAATCATCGCATGGCCTGCCACGACGGTTTCGACGTTTGGCGTTGTCCCAGCTGCGAAGAGGTTGCGGCAAAGACGCTGCGATTGCTTCAAGGAGCAGCGCATTGTCAGCACCCCCCCCCCCACTGGCCGAGAGCATCTACGGCGAATCGGGGCCGACGTATGGCCCAAGTTGTCAGCAAAGCTGGGTCGATGAGAAGGAGGCTAGTGCGGACGTTTGCTCAAAGCACTACCCGTTCTCATTGTCGTTATCCCTCCCTCCCGCCTTCCCTCCCGCCTCCATCCCCCTCCACTTACTATCACTCACTCGTTCATTCAGTCACTCCTCCTCCTCCTCCTCCTCCTCCTCCTCCTCCTCCTCCTCCTCCTCCTCCTCCTCCTCCCCCTCCTCCTCCTCCTCCTCCTCCCCCCCCTCTTCCCCCTCCTTTTTGCGCTCGGCTAACATGAGCTATGTAGCTGTTGCGCTCGTGCGAAAAATTGTGCAGGCCCAAACCGACCTGACGGAGAGACATGGGCAGGCCACCTGGCAGGCGCCGCAGCAGTAGAAATAGAAAAAAGGAGGCCAAGAAGAGTACACAGAGTAGACGCCTGCCAGGTGGCAGAGCTCGGCAATCCTGACTTTGGCGCACCGCCTAGCCCACCCTTCAAGATACTAACCTGCCATTTGCAACTATATGATATCCGAATAATAAGGGCGAGGCTGCGCAATTGGACTAAGAGGCCATCAGGAAAGGTACATCGAAAGCCGCTGCAGAAATACAAATGCAGACTGGGCAATAGCCGTAAAATGTGGGGTCTTCCCTGCCCTGTGGGCCAAATGTTCCCAAATTGCCGAGACCTCCGTATCCGTGATAGTCCGCATCCCCACGATGTAGAATAGCTGGCTGGCAACAGGCTGGCAGTAGCGTATACCGAGTGGGGACAGGTGCAGCAAACGTATAAAAAAACAGAGCTGCGTGTGCGACAGTGGGTGGAAGAGGGCAACGTAAGGTGCAAGCGTTGGCGACAGGTGGGAAGAAGAGTGGAATGTATGAGTGCGCGCATGCCTGGCAAGTATAGCAGGCTGTTGTTGACATAAAACTGCAAGCTGAGCTGTATCGGTAAAATGTGAGGTTGGTCCTGCCCTGTGGGTAAGTTGCTCCCAAAGGTGTGTAAGAAAGTCCGCCTCCCCACAGTGTGTAATTGCGGGCTGGCGGTAGCGTGAGCCGGGCGAGGGCAGGTGCAGCAAAGGTATAACAAAAAACAACGCTGCATAGGCGACAGTGGGAGGAAGAGTTGAACGTATAGCGATTGCTGTAATGAGAACTGCAGGCTGGGCGATGGCCGCAGAAAGTAGCTTTTTCCCTGCCGTGAGATCAGGTGCCCCCAAAGGTACGAGTCCGCCTCCTACACCCCCTCCTCCTCCGAGACATCTTAAAAGCGGAGAACCATGGGCGCCAGAAGATGGTAAATGCAAACCGTAGCAGTTCTCGGGCTGCGGCCCAGGGTTTGCGGTTCCCCCTCAAAGCCCCCTATCGGTCCCTGGACTGTCGTGCTTGTCGTCGGTTCTTCTCGTCTTGTGCACGAGCCCTGGTGGACAATGCCTAGGGTATCGAGGCTGGCCTGGTAGGCTGGCCTGTTGGCACTGGGTCGTGCCCAAGGTGGAAGGGATGTTGGGACAGAACTGTGAGTGCGAGATAAGCCCTGTCAAGGGGGCCCACCCTGCCCCGTAGGTCAAGGGGTCCCGAAAAGAGAGAGAAGGATGATAAGCAGGAAGGATGCACGCAGAGGTGCAGAAGGCTGGTCTGGTAGGCTGGCCTCTGGTCTGGAGGAGGCTGCTGCGCTTAAAATAACTAGGTATCCCATTCTCGCATCTTCCCCCAACTCCGTAAATCCGCCACCCCCACGATTTATAAAATAAGGCTTGCGGCAACATAAGGTGAGTGAGGGCAGGTGCCAACAAAAGTCTGACAAGGGCTGCGTAGGCAACAGTGGGAGGAATAGGGGAACGCATGGGTGCGCGCAAGCAGAAGAGTGGAAGCATGCCTGGCCTTTAGGCTGACTGACGCTGCTGCTCTTAAAGTAACGTGGTAGGTGAGCGTAAAGTGTCATGCTGCGCTGGCGAGGCACCTTGAGCAGAAAGATAGCTGGTGTTGCATTGGTGAGAGAAACCAGCGCCAGGGCAAGCAGCAACGACGGGAAAGAGGTGAGAGAGCAGGGGGCGTGAGCCACCGAAAGAAAAGAGAACCAATGTCCTATGCACCCAAGGGGGTGTACATGGTATCCGCTGTCCTCAACAACCGGTACGGTACGGCCCCTTGGGGGGGGGAGTGCCCATATGTAATCGCGTGGGCAGGTCAGGCGGCCTTGGTATCAAAAGGGGTACAGAAGGGGGAGCAAGTGGAAATACGATGGCGAAGGCAGGAGTGGCTCTGGTGAGTTAGGCGGCAACAAAGACAAGGAAGCGAGGAGAGGATGTCAGCCATTGGCGTCCTGCGGTAATCGAAATCGTCGCAGCGACTGTCGTGAAGGTCGTGGTAACCCTAATTATTTGAAATGTACTGTCCCCCCCCCTTTCGGTAAGCAGGAGCGCAATGAATGAACCAACATGGTGCTTCAAGTGTCGGTCCCCGCGAATTGGTACCACTGTCACTTGCGTGGGCCTGGTGCTGCTTCGGCTTCGGTGGCGCCTTGAAGACCAGTGGTCCCTGTACATGACGTGGTAGATGCTCGAGCGGTATGCCGTGATGTAGGTTGCGGAGGTGGACTTCCGTACGGTACTCTTGGAACTGTGCTTGATGTAACCACACTGTGGCGATGGGTTCAAAGAAGCGTGGGTCGCTGACCCCGTAGACGAAGGTGCGACCGAGGTGGTTGATGTCGACTCTAGGGGGTGGCTTCCTTATGGTGCTTGCAAGTGTGCTTGGTGGCGCTTTGGTCGGAAAGAAAACCTGCCTGGAGGCGTAAGCTTGTGGTGCACTCTATGGTGGGAACCTTTTGGAGCCACCTTTGTGCCCTGCCGCCTTCAAGTGGTTGACAAACAATTGGGACCCTGAGGTCAGGTGGCAGTGGATGTATAAAGGTCCTGCGGGCGCGTGCCATAGGTACCGTGGTGGTGCTGGCTTTGGCAAGTGGTGCTTTTGGTGTACGCTTCCGAAGCTGCCCTCTAATTATAGGTCGACGGTCACTGCGGTGATCGTTACGTCGTGGCTGGTGATAGTGGCGATGATGATGGTGTGTTCGGGCGCGTGTCTCACCTGCCGTAGGGTGTGTTAGGCTTGGTCGGGGCGTTGTCGTCGTCACTTGAGCTGGTGTCTATGAGTGTGTGGTGTTGGTCTTGGCGTGCTGGGTTGTCGGGGTGCAACTCTTATGTAGGAATGGGGCTGCTTCGTATGTGTGTACTGGCCAATCGTATCGCATGATGTCGTCATTGTGGCATAAGGTGAGCCACTGCGAGACTTCCTGGATGGCGTGTATGGCTTGATGAGTCAGTAGCGCTGGGCCGTCTGCGAGCAATGAGTGGAAGTGTCTGTTGGTGATGACGACTGCCAGTCTGAATTTCTCGCCAGTGCGTAAGTGGTTGGCAAAGGCTGCCAGGTCTCTGCCTAGTCAGAGCCGCGTGTGTCGTTGTGTTGGCTCGCGTGTTGGAAGGTGGTTCCCGGCTGGTGTTGCGTCCTTGATGGTAAGGTTTGGACCAATGGGTGGAAGTTCGAATGTCAAGGATGAGGTTGCTTGCGGATCGGGCACGAGCGGGGGAAGTGGTAGGCATTGTTGTTGGATGAAAAGCTCGTTGATGCACTTGTCTAGGTACCTGTGCCCGCCTGGCAGAAGTAGGTGGCCGTTGGAGAAATGGTAACGGTAGGTGCTGGTTTGCTCGTGGTAGTAGACAGCGTAATGCCATCGGTCGTCGTCGTATCCGTCGTTGTCCGAGTCCCTGTCATTGTGTGCATAGGCGGCCCACCCGTCAAGACAATGCATATCGTGCCCGTTGCGTGGTGCCAACCAGGTGAGATAGAACTGCTGCGTGTGTGCAGTGTCTTCCAGTCTGCCCCATGGGTCACCTTTGTCTGTGCTGCTGTCGAGGTTGGAGGCGTCGCTGACTGGTATGTTCACTGCTGTGTCGATGACGTGGCCCCATGAGTTACGAGGGGCGGGTGGGCTCGGTTGCTGCTGTGGTGCTGTCTGTGTCGGTGGTGTGGGCTCTTTCGCCTGGGGAGCGGGTGTGGGTTCGTGGCTGACAGGTAGTGGTGCCCTGGCTTGCGCGTGTACCTGCTTGGGCCTGAAGTCAATGTTTGGGATACGTTGCTGTGGTGGTACAAGTCATAGTTGGCCAGTGCATGCCAAACGTACTCTTCCGTCGTGGTCGTACTGTACTTGCTATGCTCTGCGTCTATGTACCAGTTCTCCTTGAACTAAATTGCAGTGTGAGTAGTCGGGTCCGATGTCAGTGGGTGTTATGATGCAGTCTTCGGTATTGAGATACTTGCTCCGCCTCCTGCTCCTCCTCCTGCTCCGCCTCGTCATGCCACTCATCCTGCTCCTTCATTTCCAAATACTCCCAGCTTCCTCCTCCTGCCCTCCTCGTTCTCGTCCGCGTCCTCGTCGTCCTCCTCCTCATGCTCCTTCCTTTCCTCCCTTCCCCCCCTGTTCGAGTGACATCCTATATGTGCAACCGTCCAGGAGTAGAGGCAGCAGAAGAGGGGTCGAAGAAGAAGGATAAGGGAGGAGGGAAGCAAGCCGAGAAGAACGAGAACGGGATTGGAGAGGAGGATGAAGGGGAGGAGGACGAGGAGAACAAGGAGGCGGGGGAGAAGGATGAAGAAGTGGAGGAGGGAGATCAGAAGGAGAAGGAGGAAGACAAGAATGATAATGACGATGATGACGAGGGATTCTAGGACGTCTGAGGGAGGCGGAGGATAAGGAGGTGGAGAGACTGAGAGACAGACAGAGAGAAAGAGAGAGAGAGAGAGAGACAGAGGGACCCGGAGGGAGGAAGGGAAATTGTGGGAGGGGGGAGATGGGGGAGGGGGCGGATTCCTCCTCTTTGGCCTGTTCTCCCCCGATATCCTGCGTGCCACATCATGAAGAGGTGCCTCCACGAGAGGAGCAGCACCTGCTCCTTGGGCAAGTGGGCCGCTTTGCCCTGGACCCGCCTGAGGCAGTTGGAGAACAGGCCCAGCGGGAAGGTCGAGACAGCCCGGGCGACGAGGCAGAAGTCGGGGGTTGCTCCAGGTGCCCCTGGCCCAAGGTGCCCCCAGCTTTTCACTCAATGTTCGAGCACCCGGGGCCCTCTGGGCCTCGTGAGGGGTGCTCTGGAGGCAGTGGGTGGCTCATTGGAAATCCTGGGAGCACCTTGGGTCAGGGGCACTTCTAGCAGCACCCGGAGAAGAGCATGACCAGGCCCGCCAGGCCCCACTCCCGCGTGCTATTCTTGCGCGCAAAGAAAAGGGAGTCGACGCCCACGAGCAGGAACACACACATGTCCGCGAGGCTGGCCCAGGCCTTGAGGAAGAAGGACGTGAGCACGTAACCCTTCCGAGACAGGTGCTCGGGCGCGTAGATCCCCATGGTGATCGAGCAGAAGAGAACGGCGATGATCCCCGACAGGTGCATGTGCTCCGCTAGCCCGAAGGTGCAATAACACGCGGCGGAAACTCGCCGGCCCCATAGGCTGTGGGCGTGTCGGATCAACTGGGACAGGCGGGCCAGAGCATGCGGCTGCTGAGCTGCTTGGTGCATTCCGCGCGCGTGGGAGCGCTCCCTGGGAGCCTCGCTGCAGAAGTGTGCTTCATGCTATCCCTCTTATTTTTGGGTGGGAGTGGGAGGGGGGGAGCCTCGCTGGAGAGTGTAAGGGCGAACTCGGCCGAAGGGCGGCCCTAAAGCGGAGGAAGGGCAATGGTAGCGTCTATCGGCCCTCTGCAGAAAGAGGGCGAAGAGATCGCCCTCGAGGCTTGCTTGTCCCCCGAAGATTGCCAGGATCGCCAGGCCGCGGACGCTCCGTGAGGACTCCGAGATTGCCCGAGGATGTTCTGAGATGGGTCCAGGATGGCCCCAAGATGCCTCCAAGCGCATCTTACTCGGACGCACCCCTAAGAATTGAGCCGCTGAAACAGCTGCAATCGCCGAAAAGAACGCATGCTTCCTCCACGAGTTTGACGGTTGCGTAGTTCCGAATTCCAGCGGGCCTCTCAGGCGCGAAAGTGGCCCCTGAGGAGCCTCCACTGGGCCCCGAGAGGACAATGCAAAAAAACTCAAAAATCCAACTGGGGGGGCAACAAGAGAGTGCCAAGAGGGCGCCAAGAAGCCCCGAGCTGAGTCTAAAGTTGAGCCCCCCGCGCGTCCTCCACAGGGAGACGAAGAAAACCCCGAGAGGCCCCAAGACGTCTCCCACGAGGTCCCACCAGGAGGCCCCTCCCCACAGGCGTCGCACGATTCTAAAAAACAATGGATCGCCGTGCCCATGACCTGTCCTTGCCACTCTCGGTCACGCGCAGAGGGGGGTAGGGGGGAAGGGAAAAGTCTTCTCAGAAATATTCCTGCTTCTTAGCAGGCGCGGGCCTTGTCTATAGATGCAAGGCCCGCGCCTTCTAATAAGCAGCCTCCTTCAAAGAAGCTTTCCCCCCCTCCCCGTGCCCCACTCGGCGTGCCGCCGACACTCCACGCAGAAGGAGCCCATGCCCCGACAGGGCCATCCTGGGCCCTGGCATGGCGCGCACCCCCTCTTGGCCGAGGCCGCGAGGACCTACACACAATCCGTGCGCTCAGAATGGCCCTGGCCAGGCATAGCGGTATACCCCTGCGTGGAGGTATAACATTCGATGCTGAGAAATGTGACTTCTCTCGAAGCGTGCTCTGACACAGGAGGCAAGGCAGAGATAGACCGAAGTACTACGAAAAAAGGGAGGTCCGAAGAAACGCCCAGGGTCCAGTTCAGATTCTTGCTTCCTCTGATACGAGATCTGGGGCCCATGGAAGTTGACGTTCTTCTTTAGATGTCCAATGGGTGTGGTGTACGGATGCCTCCTGCAAATTGCTTCCCGATGCGGGCCTCGCACGATCGGCGACGGGGGGAACGACCGCCTCCCGGGTCGGACGCGAGGCGGGGATAGCCAAAGGGAAGGCCAACATGATGGGCCTGTTTTCCACCGCCACCACCACAAGTTGGAGGGGGAGGGGGTCCTCCTCCTCCTCCTCCTCCTCCTCCTCCTCCTCCTCCTCCTCCTCGTCCTCCTCCTCGTCCTCCACCTCCTTCCCCCCTCCAACTTATGGTGGTGGTGGTGGAAAATAGGCTCATCGTAACAAGTAGCGACCCAGCATACGTGGCTGCTTTCCCCGGCGCCTCCCAGCGCTGGAGGCACCAGTGTCCAGGAAAGCGCCAGGCGGCTCGGCCGAAACCAGCTGCACGCAGCACATTTCGCGACCCCCCCCTTTCCCTGAAACTCCCCATCGCCCGACCCGAGCCACACGACTTCTCCCGGATCCCCGCGCGAGCAGATGGGCCGGCGGTGCAGCACGCGGAGGCACCTGAGACTGTCAGCCCGCGAGCGCGCCTGCGAAGGCGGGTGGGGCCGGAGGGCGGGGCGAGAGTCCTCGGCGAGTCTGCCAACGCCAACATGGATTACGGGTCCGTGGACCTTGCGCCTGGGCGCCAGATCCACGGATGCGGGACAGCGCCCCCCGAAACATGGCGCCAATGCCGCCTGGCTTGGCGACGGAGCACGCCGCTGTCGTGTGGAAGTGGGACATCATGCGGCAGCGGCAACCCGTGGGAGCCTCCAGAACCATGTTGCTGGCTCTTGCGGATTGAATCCACTCGACGGTGATCGACGCGAGATCGACGCTAATCGATGCTGATCGGTGATAAATCGGCGCTATCGCATCGACTACCAGACGCAAATCGACGCTCACGCACTCTGAATATGGAATCACGAGGGTACAAGAAGGCCCCCGTGCTTCGCTGCCAAACGGAACCTGTTCAACCAACTTTAGTCCATGCTCAGGTTTCCTCGATTATTCTGCCCCTCCCCCAGTTCACCGCCGCAGCCCGGCGCGCGCCCCCGCCAGTCAATCCGCGAAGGTCAAGGCATCTCGTCGTCCCCAGTCCCTGCGCGCACCCCCCATCGTCATCCGTCCCCTTTCGCCTTGCATTGCCTTGGCAACGCCGTGGACGGCGACAGCAGAACCGCAGACCAGCCGAACAGGCAGCGAGACCGACACCGGCAGAAATCGACAGGGCGCATGCAACCCTGAAGGGCGCAGCGACGTGGCAACAACACAGTGACCGACCGAACCGAACTGACCGAACGCAATTGACCGCGACGCAAGGCTGTCGCTCGGCCATTTCAGGCCGGCTGTGGGCGGGGAGTAGAAGCGTAGCGCGTTGAATCCGCCAGCCCCGTGGAGCTTCCCGGCTGTGAACCGTCACGCTGCATTTGATTAGCGTTGTTGTGACGATGGAGGAGATTAAATATAGTACGTCGCCCCCTGGCCCCAGGAACAACCCTTTGCAAAACGTATCCCGGTGGCCCTCGCCTCCCCGAAACCATGCATCACTGAAATATCAAGGGCGCGGCCTCCAAAGGCCACGGGCCCCAAATATCCTGGCTCGCACGGCACCGGGGGGAAACAACAGAAAAACAAACCGTTCACAGGCCCACGTTCCCTTGCAAACCAGATTTCAATTGCGCCCTCAGGGCTGCGATTCCGTGTAAAACACCGGATGCGCGCTCCCAGGGCCTGGAATAATTTTGAAATGCAATGGCTCCGTACACGCAGAGCCGCCACCATCCATGTTCCCAAGGCCACGAGCTTTCGTACAAGTCACTGGAGAAAGACCCAATCTTATGCAATTGCACGTAGCACATGCCATACGGACCCGCCCACTGGGGCAGAATGGGAAGCTCACGATGGGGCACGATCCGCGGGGAGGGTATGCGCAGAACTGGGCGGGGGCAACGCCATGCGAACGCACCTACTGGGGCCGTAGGTGGAGCTCCCCATGGGGTACGAAACGTGTGAGGGCTGTGCCGAAAAACAAACGCAGGAGAAGTGAAAGTCAGAGGCAGGGTGAGGAGAAGGAAGAAAGGAGGGGGAGGCTGGGGGGGAGGTGCAGCGTGCTCCCGCGAATTCAAAACGAAGACCCAGCAACACAGGAGGATTGGGGAAACAGAGGAGCCGCGATCCACTGTCGCTGGCCTAAACAATGTTTCATAAGGGGGGTCGAAAACCACGGGGGGGGCCCACCTCCAGCCACTGAGAAAAATCCGAGCAGGGGGGTCAGAAACCAAGGCCCCCAAACCTCCCCCTCCCGAACGCCCCCCCCCCCCCCGCAAAGAACCGAGGGGGTCCAGTCCCCCCCCCTCGCCCAGGAAAATGTTTCGGGGGGTCCCGAACACCCTCTTCCCCGGCCCACCCCCTCGGACAATGACGGCGACGACGCCGACGACGGAGACAACGTCAGAGGCGGCGGCGGCGCACCTGTCGCCGGCGCCCGCGCCAGGCGCCGGCCCTGATGATACTAGTCCTCGATCCAGGTCTCCCCAGTATCCTACCTAGGGCCCTACTGACGTCGACACTACTCGACTCTACCCTAATACTCTACTCTCTCTCTCTCTCTCTTGTGCTCTACTATACTCTACACTACTCTACTCTACCCTACTCTGTCCTACTCTACTCTACCCTACTCTACCCTACCCCACCGTACCCTAACATGGTCTACTCTACTTTGCTCCTACTCTATTCTACTCTACTCTACTCTACTCCGATCCTACCCTACTCTATTCAGCTCTGCTCTGCTCTACTCTACTTCTACTCGACTCTATTTTACCCATCAGTTCGTCTCTAGTCGACTCTACTCTACTCTAATATGATCCGCATAGCCCTACTCTACCTTACTCTACCATACCTACTCTACTTTTCTCTACTCTACCCTACCGCATCCCACCCGACACCACTCGACTCTACTCTACCCTACTCTACCCTACTCTACGTCTACTCTGCTCTGCTCGTCGCCGTCGTCGTCGTATTCGTCATGGTCGTCGTCGTCCTCGTCGTCGTCGGCGGCGTCGTGGGCGTTAGCGGCGTCGTCATCGCCAGCGTCGGCATCGGCGGCGTCGTCGTCGTCGTCGTGGTGGTCGTCGTGCGGTGCGTCGTGCGTCGTGCGTCGTGCGTCGTCGGTGTCTTCGTCGTATTCGTCGTATTCGTCGTCGTCGTCATCCGCGTCGCTTGCTGACCGCGGCGACGTCGTCGTCGTCGTTACCGGGGGAGGAAGGGGGGGAGCTTCTGGACCTCCCAGGAGGGGGGTTCTGAACCAACGAATAATTTCCCTGGGGGGAGCAGGGGGGGGGTCCCGACCCGCCCCCCTCTGGTTTTTGGGGGGGATCGAACCCCCCCCCTGCCAGCAGCGGCAGAAAGCGCTCATTTTGGAACACACAACGGATGCATGCTCCCACGGCTACGACCCTACGTCGTTGGGTCCTCGTTTTCTCGACGCTACGCCGCGCGCCCGCCTCTAGTGTCCTCCGCTTATTCTCTTGAGTATGTGCAGATTCGAGCCCGCATTGGCGATCCCTAGTGATAGCGCAAGTGTGGCGCATCCACTCACAAGTGTGACATGCAAGGGAGGAGGAGGGAGGGAGGGGGGAAGAGGGAGAGGGAGAGAGCAAAGAGAAAGAGAGAGAGAGAGAGAGAGACAACAAAACACAGGATAAGGAAAACGTGCATTCACGCTGCACTGTTTCAAGTGCTCCAAAGGGCATGGGAATTAAACTTGAAGCGCGCGGCAGATCTTCCTTCCCGCCTTCCCCTCCTCCTCCTCCTCCTCCTCCTCCTCCTCCTCCTCCTCCTCTTCCCCCTCCTCCTCGTTCTCCTCCTCCTCCTCCTCCTCCTGCTCATCCTTCTCCTCCCACGCATTTTGCACCCCTCAGGGAACTCCACCCCAGATCTCCGATGGGTGCGTTCGCATGTCGACGCCCCGCCTAAGCCGGCGCACCCCTCATACGCTTCGTACGCCCCCGTGGGTGTGTTCGCATGGCGCTGCCCCAGCCCAATCCAGCGCACACGGCACGCGGATCGGGCCCTACAGGGAGCTCCACTAACAGCAGGTTGGTGTCGTGACGACCCTAGCGTTGATTATTGACACCGCGTGGATCGTTCAACATTGAACGATCGACTGCTTTCCGATCACCAGATTGTTCCATATGGCCGACTCTGGGCCACGAGCGTCGTTCAACCTTGAACGCCCAGCACGGGGTCGCCGTGGCGTCGTGTCGGATGGCGCTGCCCCGCCCATTTCGGCGTACCCCGAACGCAGATCGGTGCCTGTCGGGCAGCCCAAGCGTGGCGCCCTAGCTGAAAGTCAGCAGACTCCTGAAGAGAGGCTCGGCGTCACGATAGCATGACGCTGCCGAGGTCAGGACCCTACGCTCGGATGAGTGTTCATGCCGCGGGACCGCAGTCCCACTGCGGCGATCGCCCGCAACATGAGCTTGATCTGCGATCCCGACGCCAGGCTCCGTTGTAAACTGCGCATGGCCCGCGATCACAGGGTGACGACCCCGTGTAGTGTATGCTGGATCCGCGCCCCCAGGTGACATCTGAGCGAAAGGATCCGCAAGAGGGCCTGATACCACTCCGAGAGCGCACCGAGAAGGCTCCAGGAAGCTCCGATGCGTTCCAAAAGCAAGGCAGTAAGGCCCAGAGATTGTCGTAAGATGGCCCAAGATAATCCAATGGAGCCCCCAGGGGATCCAAGGGGCCTGGCCAGAAGAGGGGAGGTCCCCTAGACGGCCCGACGATGGTTCCAAGAAGGCCCCAACAGCCCCTCAGGAGGAAGAGGGGGTTTGCATCAGCGATCCGCTGAGGGCGGAACCAATCGCGAACTGTTTAGCGACAGCTGGAAGAGGCGGCTGCTTTCGCAGAGGCCTCTCGCCTGGACACGGGCCAGGAGGAAAGGGGAGAGGTCAGAAAGAGCAGGATGATGAGGAGGACGACGACAACGGCGACGAGAGCGCCCGCGATGCCTGGAGTAGGGGGGCCAAGGGCAGTGGCCGAAGGCCTCCAGATAAAAAGAGTCTCCATCGTCTGGGAGTGCCTCATGGCTAAGAAACGGATGGCAACGATGGATAAACTTGCAAAAACGATGCCGAACAGCATTGATCCAAACAGCGTTTTCGCAATACCCAAGACGATATGTCCAAAATGCGTGCCCACGGCTCCGACGAATGACGCACACGGTTTCTCGAAGATGGCGTCACTGTTTAGAATGTTGAATACTGTGATGGCGACCGCGTCGTTGATGGTAGACTCCCCGAATACCATGATGTTCAGGAAAGGGTCAACCTTCAACGAGGAGTACGTCGCCAGCGTCGCCACAGGGTCTGTGGCCGCGATAAGGGACGCATAAACCAAAGCCGTCCTCCAGTTGGCGATACCATGAATGCTTGAACTTGCCATTATAAGGGAAGCCACCACGATCATCGCGAGCCCTGAGCCCAGCACGGCGAAGATGAGAATGTGCTCAAATTGGGAGCCGAAGTCCATGGCCCGCAAGGACCAGCCAGACTCGAATATAATGATAGGCAGCAGAAGCATATTCAACAACGGCGCGTTCATCTCTGCCAGCAGCTTCTCCACAGTGTCATCCTGCAGGAAGCCAAGTGGCGGGGCGATCAATGACTCTTGGAATACTGAGGGGAATACGGCAGCTTCGTGTCGTGACGACCTTGGCGCTGGCTCCTGACACCGGATCGTTCAACCTTGAACGATCGGCGGTTTCCGAAACGTCGGGTGGTTCGACACCGACCGATTATTGGTCGCTTGCGGCGTTCAACGTTGAACGCCAGCGGCAAGGTCGCCGCCGGTCGAGACGAAGCGAACCTGCCGTAGAAACCTGATGAGATCTGCGTAAGGACCTCCCCCCCCTTCTCGATTGACTCCCTATCCGCCACTTCCTCCTTCTCACCCATCTCCCCCCCACCCCTCTGTTCGTCGCTCTCCTCTTCCTCCTCCGCCTCCTCCTCCGCCTCCACGTTCTGTGCCCTACAACAACCACAGCTGAGAGGCCTCAGGACGAGTTTTCCGAAAACAAATCTGATTCGGGCCATGGCGCTTCATATTTGTAAGACCTATTCATTATGTAGAAGTTTTCTCATCACATGTGTAAGAGCTCATGGTGGCCCGTTCCCAAGGGTTCTTTTTAGACAGATAAATGTATGTATATATATATATATATATAGCAAGAGACGCCAGGGCTAAAATCATTTGAGGGGGCCAGGCGGAGAGAGGATAGAGAAAGAGAGGGAGTAGTAGTAGTAGTAGTAGTAGTAGTAGTAGTAGTAGTAGTAGTACTAGTACTAGTACTAGTACTAGTACTAGTACTAGTACTAGTACTAGTACTACTACTAGTTAGTAGTTAGTAGTAGTAGTAGTAGTAGTAGTAGTAGTAGTAGCAGTAGTAAGAGTAGTAAGAGTAGTAGTAGTAGTAGTAGTAGTAGTAGCAGTAGTAGTAGTAGCAGTAGTAGTAGTAGTAGTAGTAGTAGTAGTAGAAGTAGTAGTAGTAGTAGTAGAAGTAGTAAGTAGTAGTAGTAGTAGTAGTAGTAGTAGTAGTAGTAGTAGTAGTAGTAGTAGTAGTAGTAGTAGCAGTAGTAGTAGTAGTAGTAGTGGTAGTAGTAGTAGTAGTGGTAGTGGTAGTAGTAGTCGTAGTATAGTCGTAGTCGTAGTAGTAGTAGTAGTAGTAGTAGTAGTAGTAGTAAGTAGTAGTAGTAGTAGTAGTAGCAGTAGTAGTAGTAGTAGTAGTAGTAGTAGTAGTAGTAGCCGTAGTAGTAGTAGGAGTAGTAGTAGTAGTAGTAGTAGTTAGTAGTAGTAGTAGTAGTAGTAGTAGTAGTAGTAGTAAAAGTGACAGTAGTAGTAGTAGTAGGAGTAGTAGTAGAAGTAGTAGTTGAAGTAGAAGTAGTAGTAGCATTAGTAGTAGTAGTAGAAGTAGTAGTAGTAGAAGAAGAAGAAGAAGAAGTAGTAGTAGCAGTGATAGTAGTAGCAGTAATAGTAGCAGTAGCAATAGCAGTAGTACGAGCAATCGTAGTAGTAGTAGTATTCTGTGTAGTCGTAGTAGTATATGTAGTAGTTATCATAATAGTAAGTGTAATCGTCGTCGTGGTAGAAATATTAGTAGTAATACGACGACGACGACTACTACTATTACGACTACTACGACTAGTCGTCATAGCAGTAGCAACAGCAATAGCAGTGGTCGTAGTAACAGAAGTAGTCGTAGTAGTAGTAGCAGTAGCCATCGTAGTAGCAAAAAAAGTATCAGTAAGAGTAGTCGCAATAGTAGTAATCGTCGCAGTAGTAGTAGTACTAGTACTGATACTAGTACTTGTAGTAATAGTAGTAGTAGTAGTAGTAGTAGCAATAGTAGTAAGAGTAGTAGTAGTAGTAGTAGTAATAATGATAATAACAACCCGACTAGCAAAAGTCGCATTCGTAGTCATAGGTGTAATCGCAGTCGTAGTCGTAGTAGTACGAGGAGTAATAGTATAGTCGCAGTAGAAGTAATAATAGGAGTAGTAATAGCAAGACTTATAGAAACAACAGTAGTAGTAGTAGTAGTAGTAGTAGTAGTAGTAGTAGTAGTAGTAGTGGGGGGTGGTAGTAGTTTCAGCAATAGTAGTGGTAGTCGTAGACGTAGTAGAAGAAGTAGTAGTAGTAGTAGTTGGTGATAGTAATGGTAAAAGTAGTCGCAGTAGAAGTGAAAGTAGGAATAATAGTAGCAGTGGCTCTAGTCGTAGTCTAGTCGTAGTCTAGTCGTAATCGCAATCGTAGTCTCAATAATAATAGCAATAGTAGCCGGAGTAATAACAATAGTAATCGTAATACTAGTAATTGTCGGAATAAACGTAAAAACGTAAAAATATTAGTAGATGGAGTAGTCGTAATAGTTGTAGTTATATCAGTCGAGTCGTAGTTGTCAAAGTATCAGTGATACGACGGGTAGTAGAAGCAATAGCGATAGTAGCCATACGAACAAAAAATCCTCTGTTGCCCCGCCACACGTGGGACGATGGTGTTGCTACTCAACATAAGAAGATCGTAGTTTCGATTCGTAACAATTCCCCCGCGATAATACAGTTCAGCCTTGCCGCCCCTCTCCCCTGACCAACTCTGTCTTGGCCGGAGATTATCAACCCTCAATCGTGAAGGGGGGCTGATATGATGTATTACCTGGGGCACAGGGTTACCACATCATTAACATCCGCCTCTTGGGCACAGAACGCTCATGCGCGTCTACCTGTTTTCACTGCGTGCTCTCACGAGGCTGCAAGCTAGAAAACAAAGATCCTGGCGAAAGACCCAAACATATGCCAGTTGTGGGCACCACGCTTGTAAATACTGTCTTCGGTGAAGCTGCCTATGGGGCCACGAAGCGCTGTACTGGGTGGGGGGGAACACATGCGGGCGGTAGCACGGGGGCCGTCGGTGAACCTCCCTATGGGAAAACGCAACGCTGTACTGGGCAAGTGGAATTGCGCTCCCGGGACGCATGCGGGCGGTCCCACTGGGGGGTTCGGTGGAGCTCCCTATGGGAAAACGAAACGCTGTACCGCGTGGGTGAAAATGTCAAATCGGGCTTCCAGGACGCATGCGGGCGGTCCCACTGGGGGCTTCGGTGGAGCTCCCTGTGGGGCCACGAAACACTGTACTGGGTGTGAATGCCTAATTAGGTTTCCGGGACGCATCCGGGCGGTCCCACTGGGGGCTTCGGTGGAGCTCCATTTCGGGCCTCGAAATGTTGTACGTGGTGGGTGAAAAATCCCAAAATTGGGCTTCCGGGACGCACGATGGCGGTCCCACTGGGGCCTTCGGTGGAGCTCCTGATGGGGCCACGAAGCGCTGCCCTGCGAGGGTGAAAATGCCAAATTGGGCTTCTGGGACGGGCGGTCCCACTAGGAGCTTCGGTGGAGCTCCTTATGGGGCCACGAAACGCTGTACAGGGCAAGTGGACATGCCAAATTGCGCTCCCGGGACGCATGCGGGCGGTCCCACTGGGGGTTTCGGTGGAGCTCCCTATGGGGCCACGACATGCTGCACTGGGTTGGCGAAAATGCCAAATTGCGTTTCCGAGACGCATGCGGGCGGTCCCACCAGGAGCTTCGGTGGAGCTCCCTATGGGGCCACGAAACGCTGTACTGGGTGCCGGGGACGCATGCGGACGGTAGCACTGAGAATTTCGGTGGGGCTCCCTATGGGGTCACGAAACGCTGTACTGGGTGCGGGGGACGCATGCGGGCGGTAGCACTGCGACCTTCGGTGGGGCTCCCTATGGGGCCACGAAACGCTGTACTGGGTGCGGGAGACACATGCGGACGGTAGCACTGGGACCTTCGGTGGGGCTCCCTATGGGGCCACAAAACGTGAGGGGTGTGCTGAAACGGGTGCTGATGATAATGGTGATGGGGGAGGGAGAAGAGGGAGAAGGAGGAGGAGGAGAACGCGGGGACCGTTATTTCAAAACGAGGACCCATCACCACAGGATGGTCGGACAAAAAACATGTTTGCCAGGGTGAACCCTACCCAGTGAGTTGTCGCACCCTGGTGGTGGAAGCCATGTGGTGGAAGTTACGTGGTAGAGGATATGTAGTGTAAGCTATGTGGTGGAAGTTGTATGGCGTAAGCTATGTGGAATGTGATGGAAACTCTGTGGCAACGCTTCGCATCCATAGAAATCCTGACAGAAAGCTGGGTCCCACTAAATGGGAACAATGTTTGCCGTTATCTTGGCGCTTCGCGCCTCCGCACTGGATGCAGGAGCGTGCGAGGCGGCAACGAGGCGGCAACGGGTGACAGCGGGCGGCAACGGACCCACCCCAAAGGCAAAGGGGGGCAGCGGGCGGCAATGGGCCGGCAACGAGCGGCAACTGGCGGCAACGAGCGGCAACGGGCGGCAACGTGGCAAGTCCTCGACGCGGCCACCCAAGCGGCAACGGGCGGCAGCCAGCGGCAAAGGGCGGGAATGTGGCGAATTTTCGACGCACCCGCAAAGGCGGCAACGGGTGGCGACGGGCGGCAACGGGCGGCAACGGGCTGGGGCGTGGCGAATCCTCGACGCATACACCCAGCTCCTTCGAAAGACAAGTAAGAACCCCTGAGCGCAAGCACTGCTTGGGGAACAAACCAAACGATCCTGGCGAAGGACCCAACCATGAAGCTCCCTATGGGGCAACGAAGCGCGGCACTGGGTGGGGGGAACGCTGTACTGAGTGGGTGGTGTACCAATTGGGCTTCCGGGACGCATGCGGACGGTCCCACTGGGCGCTTCGGTGGAGTTTCCTATGGGGCCACGAAACGCTGTAATGGGTGTGTGAAAAAGCCACATTGGGTTTTGGGGAACGCATGCGGACGGTGGCACTGGGGCCTTCGGTGGAGCTCCCTATGGGACCACGAAACGCTTTACTGGGAGGGGGGAAATGCCAAATTAAGTTTCCGGGACGCACGCAGACGGTCCCACTGGGCGCTTCGGTGGAGCTCCCTATGGAGCCACGGAACGCTGTATTGGGCGGGTGAAAATGCCACATTGGGCTTTCGGGACGCATGCGGACGGTGACACTGAAGCCTTCGGTGGAGCTCCCTATAAGGCCACGAAACGCTGTACTGGGTGAGTGAAAATGCAACATTGGGTGCTTCGGAACGCTTGCGGGCAGTCCCACTGGGGCCGTCGGTGGGGTTGCCTATGGGGCCACGAAACGCTGTACTGGATATGTGAAACGCCACATTGGGCTTCGGAACGCATGCGGAATGCTGCACTGGGGCCTTCGGTGGGGTTCCCTATGGGGCCACGAAACGCTGTACTGGGTGGGCGAAAATGCCAAATTAGCTGATTGGGACGCATGCGGACGGTCCCACCAGTGGTTTCGGTGAAGCTTCCCTTGGGGCCACGAAAAACTATACTGGGTATGCGGGACACATGCGGGCGGCAGCACTGGGACCTTCGGTGGAGCTCCCTATGGGGCCACGAAACACTGCACTGGGTGGGTGAAACGCAAGGAGGAGGGGGAGGATGACCACGAAACGCTGTGCTTGGTGTGCGGGACGCATACGGGCGGCAGCACTGGAGCCTTCGGCGGGGTTCCTAATGGGGCCAGGAAGCGATGTACTGGGTGGGTGAAACGCAGGGCAGGGGGAGGAGGGCCACGGAACGCTGTACTGGGTGGGGGGACGCATACGGGCGGCAGCACTGGGACCTTCGGTGGGGCTCCCTATGGGGCCAGGAAACGCTGTACTGGGTGTGCGGGACGCATGCGGCCGGCAGCACTGGGGCCTTCGGCGGGGCTCCCCATGGGGCCACGAAGCGCTGTACTGGGTAGGTGAAACGCAGGGAGCAGGAGGAGGAGGGCCACGAAACGCTGTACTGGGTGTGCGGGACGCATGCGGCCGGCAGCACTGGGACCTTCGGTGGGGCTCCGTATGGGGCCACGAAACGATGTACGGGGTGGGCGAAACGCAGGGAGCAGGGGGAGGAGGGCCACGGAACGCTGTACTAGGTGTGCGGGACGCATGCGGCCGGCAGCACTGGGACCTTCGGTGGGGCTCCCTATGGTGCCAGGAAGCGTTGTACTGGGTGGGTGAAACGCAGGGAGGAGGGGTAGGAGGGAGGAGGAGGGAGGAGGGGAGGAGGAGGAGGAGGAGTGAGGACGCGGGGCGCTGTCTCTTCAAAACGAAGACCCAACACCACAGGATGGTTGGGAAAAACAACAAAGACGAGCGCGGGGACGGAGAAGAAGCGGTGCGATCCCGGAGAGGGGAAAAACAAAAACACGCTTTTCAAAAGCGGATGGAAACAGCGGGGGGACGGGAGCTCCGTTCAAGGGGAAGGTGGGACTCGCGGGGGCTAGGGTGGTCGTGGGATGGGAACGTAACGGGAAAGTAGAGAAGCAGTGGCGTGGGTGGGCAGGGAGGGCATTCAGATAGACGAAAACACGGAGCAGCAATAGCAAGCTGGCCAATGAACAACCAACGCTCGAAAACGGCAACAGGAATTGGAAGACAACGGCGGTGAGCTTCCTCGCAAAGAAAACGCTTAAGCTGGAAGCCAGTGAGGTCAAACCAAAAAGCAGCGCTTCTCACAATCTCCCTCGTCCTCCACCCCTTGGCCATCATCCCTCCTCCATAACTCTCCCTTGCCCCACTCCCCCCTTCCCCCCTCCCTCCTCGCGCGGCCTCGCAGCCCTGCACGCGTGCCTCGGTTCACAGCGCCGCCCTGTGCTGCGCATCCTTCTGCAATTGCCAGCGGCACCACTCTGGGGACTGCCAACCGCCACCCCTGTGCTGCCGCCCACACAGGTGACCACCGCGCGCTGGGGCGCCTCCAGGGTGTGTCCCACAGCGCGCTTCAAGACCGAGCGATGTTCCACGAGAGCGAGGCGCGTGCCAGCAAGCGCCCCAGCGGACATCGCCCCTGCCCAAGCTGCGCGGCCAGTGGGCTTTTGGACGCCCGAAATGGGTACGGAAAGAATGGGCACTATGCCCAACAACAAATGTTGTCCCAAGCCAACAGCGGCCGCTGTTGGGCAGGCGGCCTTCTGTCTCGAATGGACACAGGCCGCGGCGGCGTGGACTGCGAATCCTGTTCAAAATGAACAAGAATTGTTGTTGGGCATTGTACCCATTCTTTCAGTACCCATTTCGGGCGTCCAGAGGGCTGGCGAAGGCGGTTCGCCGCCGACGCCGGCCCCCCCAAAGGCCTCGGGTAATTCGCGCCCGGAGCCCGCCGCTCGACCAGCACAAAGCCGGCGATGGGCCAGCGCGACCCGGCAGCGGCAATTGGGCTATACGCGCAAGGAGTGGCCCCAGGCGAGGGTGAACTCTGGTGCGCGACTTTCGGGGGGGGCGCGGAGGGGCCAAACCCAAGCCTGCAAGCCGCTGCTGTCACATCGCATTCAGCCATCTGGGGACCCCAGTGGACCCGCACCAGAGGTCACTCTGGCGAAAGGTCACCCTGAAGCGTTGCCGAGGCTTGGCCCCTTGCGCATCGGACACCTCTGGCCTGCTTTTGGGGGGCTTGGCCGATTCCCCTTTTCAAATCGTCCAGCTGGTCACCATGAGTTGCCGACTGACTTCGAACACATTCCGACTACCGCTCAAAAGCAAGCGCAAGAACATTAAACCAGCCCGACGGAGCTTGAGGCTCAAACAGCGCGAAATCGGCGCGATGCGTCAACAATGAATCGGCTCTCATCATGGCGGAAGATTGGTCATGACGAGACCTGCACTCTGACGACCAAAAACCTCAGATTGCCGAAGCACTAGCATTCGATCATCAAGGTAAGGCTGCCGATCAGGAGCTCGCTGACGATTGTGGACACATGTTCTGCCCAGGTTCCAGTGGCAGGAGCTGACACTGCAGCAACTTCAGATGCCACTCAGTAGATGGAGAGCACAACATGTAATGATTTGTCTCAAGCCAACGCTCTGCTGGACTGCTGGTCGGGAACCGTGCACCGCTATCAAGACCCGCGGCCCTGGCGCGTTGTGCCAGTAGAGGCCATCACAAGCACGGCAACTCGGCCCCGCGCGTCCAGAGGCACAGCTTGTGTCAAGCACAACCCCGTCTGCCCCGATCCTCGCGCCGCCCGAGTGGTGCGCCATATGGACTCCAACCTTGTAGTCTTACGACGCCGTTCTCCGAGATGGGCTCCACGCCTCGATTCCTCACGAGGCCCCGCGTGCTGTCTTCAGGGGACACCTTCTTTGCCTTGTCGCTTGCCTTTTCGCTTGCTGCTAGACGGGCTTCGGCTTTCCTTCAACTTGTAAGCAACTCGCCGCTAGTCTGGAGTAGGACAGGCTATAGCGCGCCTGCAGCCTCAACGTGCACTTCGCCCGCTTTGGGCTTGCCTTGGGACTGCTTCTCGTTGGCATTTCGCTCTGATGTTCACATGCGGTCAGTTTACCTCGAACTTGCGTTGAGCTCGAGTTTCGCTTACCTGTGGCAGGCAATACAGCTCGGCTCAGCTATTGGTTGTCTCTTAGACTGCCTTCAGCATGACTCATAGTGCTCGTTTGAGCTTGCCTCGCGATTGCAGTCCACTCGCGAGGAGCTGATAGTTAACTTGAGTATATGTTTTACGTGGTTCACTTGTAGCGTACCTTCACCTCCGCCTAAGCCTGCCTCCCGCATGGCTGCAATTCGACCACTTGCTGACCTTCAGCTTTCCTTTCACTTACCCTGGCTTGCCTGTAGATTGCCCCGTCCCTGCTAGCCTGCCTTGAGATACGACCCTCACAATACCTGGATACTGCTCAGGCGCCCCGTTCTCGGAAAGGAGCAGCCGATGATCGGGGTCGCGATGGTCCCGTTTGCTCAGCCACCGCAGTCCTTGAAGTAATTGCTCCAAATGAGTGCTCTCAGCCCCTCGCCCAGGGCCACCCCAACCAAGATGACGACGAGAGACTCTGGAACCCAGTGCATGCGGCACTTCTCCATGAGGCAGACGAGCATGATCGTTCCCATGATACCCAGATTGACGACCTTAGATGAAGCACCAAAGCAGGTACAAGTACAAACTGTCAGAGGACGGCGCGGAATTCTGGGGTCGGCGCTGGACCTCCCCTGGCGGCGCCCCTGGTGCCGCCCCTGGTGCCCTCTGGGCACCACCGGAGGGTGTCTAGCGCCGACGCAAGTAACCCGCGTGGAGCTCCGAACGACGATGTCAGGTCCTCGTGTTGAATACGCAGCGCCGCGTTCCACATCTTCACCTCATCCCCTCCTCTCCTCTTCCTTCTCATGGCTGTCGTCGTCATCATCATCATCATCATCAGCATCATCATCATCATCATCATCATCATCATCATCATCATCATCATCATCATCATCATCATCATCATCATCATCATCATCATCGTCATCGGCAGCAGCAGCATCAGCGTCATCATCATCATCATCATCATCAACATCATCATCATCATCATCATCATCATCAGCATCATCATCATCATCATCATCATCATCATCATCATCATCCTCATCATCATCATCATCATCATCCTCATCATCATTATCACCATCATCAGAATCCTCACCATCATCAGCATCACCATCATCACCGTCATCATCAACATCAGCATCAGCATCAGCATCATCAGCAGCACCAGAATCGGATCATCGTCATCGTCATCATCATCAGCATCCTCAGCATCATCAGCATCATCATCAACATCATCAGCATCAACATCAGCATCAGTATCAACATAATCATCATCACCATCATCAGCATCGTCATCCTCAGCATCATCCTCATCATCATCCTCGTCGTTGTCATCATCGTCGTAGTCAGCACCACCATGGTCACCAGCATCGTCATCAGAATCATCGTCATCATCAGCATCGTCATCAGCATCATCATCAGCTTCATCAGCATCATCGTATTCATATTCATCATCAGCATCATCATCATCATAATCAGCATCATCCACATCATCAGCATCATCATCACCATCATCGTCATCATCATCCTGATCATCATCAGCGTCAGCATCGCCATCACCAGCATCAATATCATCATCGTCATCATCAACATCATCAGAATGATCATGACCAAATTAGCATCAGCATCAGCAATAGCATCATCGGCATCCTCATCATCATCAGAAGCGCAGCGCCATCATCGTCAGCAACATCATCATCTTCAGCGCTCTCATCATCAGCATCATCATCATCAGCATCATCAACACCATCAGCATCAGCATCATCACCATCGTCATCATCATCAGCATCCGTATCATCATCATCATCATCATGATCATCATCATCATCATCATCATCATCATCATCATCTTCATCAGCATCATCATAATCATCATCATCACCATCATCAGCACCATCCGCAGCAGCAACATCCTCAACAGCAGCAGCGTCATCATTATCAGCATCGTCCTCATGCTCATCCTCATCCTCCTCCTCGTCCTCATCATCAGCGTCATCATCAGCATCAGCATCATCATCAGCAGCATCATCATCATCACCAGCATCAGCGTCATAATCACCAGCATCATCAGCATCAGCATCATCATCAGCATCCTCATCATCACCATCATCACCACCATCATCATCATCAGCATCATCATCATCACCAGCATCGTCGTACGCGTTGCCACCATCAGCATGATCATCACCGTTTCGCCACACCCCTCACACATTTCGCTGCCCAATAGAGAGCACCACCGGATGCTCCAGTGGCTGCGCCCGCATCGTGACCCGCACTATTCCGGTGCACCTCTTACACGGTTCGTTGCACCATGGGGAACTCTACCGAAGGCCACAGTGACTGCGTCCGCATGGTGACCCGCCCCATTGCGACGCACGCCTCACATATTTCGTAGCCTCACAAGAAACCACCGAAGGTACCAGTGGCTGTGTCCGCTTTGTGCCCCGCTCCATGTCGGCACACACCTCACACGCTTCGTGACCCCATAGGGAGCTCCACCGAACGCAAAAATAGCTGCGTCCGCCTGGTGGCCCGCCCCCGTTTGGCACACCACTCACACGTTTGGCGGCATTATAGGGAGCGGGCCCCAGTGGTTGCGTCCACGTGGTGACCCGCCCAATTTCGACGTACCCCCCACACTACACTAGGGAGCTCCACTCAAGGCCCTTGCGACTGCGTCCGCATGGTGACTCGTCCCATACTGGCGCACCCCTCACACCGTTCGTGACACCACAGGGAGCTCCACCGAAAGCCGCAGTGGCTGCGTCCGCGTGGCGTCGAGTCGCCCATCAAGTTTACTGTTATCCTTCGGACCCGCAAACTTGCAGCCGCCCAGGGCGCCCTGCGAACATGTAGTCTCATCCTGGGATTGAGTAAGCCTTCTTCGACGCAGCTGTCCTTCGGACTTATACATTACTCCGCCGAAGTATCCGTTTGGAGCATGCCGACCCTGTGCGAGGAGTGGCTGAGGAGGCGGGGGAGTAAGAGGCAGCCCATCGGACCCTCAAGCTTGTTTTTCCTTCGAACCGTCCATGCTGGAGCCACCCAGGACGTCTTGCAGCGATATGGTGCCACATTCGGACGACCTGAGCATTATTTGATGCAATTGTCCTTGGGACCTGCACATTTGTCCGCATATCCTTTGTGAAACTCCATCGATCCAGTTCAGAGCAGGTCAGACCTGTGCAAGGAGTGGCAGAGGAGGAGGAGGAGGTAGAAAAGAAAGAGCTAGACCATCGGACTCTTTCAAGCTTACTTGTTCTTCGGATCCTCAAACCTGGAGCCGCCCAGGGCGGCTGAGCCTGAGTCGGCGATGGCATCACGAGCTCGTCGCGCAAACGCGCTGCCCCCTGCCTGGACTTCCGCGTGCTGCGCTTGATCAACTAGTCGTTCCTCCAATGATCACTCCTCCTGCCCTCTCTGCCCCCACCCTCGTGCTCCACGGCGCATTCGTCGTCTTCCTCCTTGTGATTTGAGTCGTGAGAGTGCGTGCGCGTGGTCCGACGCTCTTGGGCGAAGCGTTCAGGGGTACTGCGACCCCCCCCCCGCGAGTTCCTGTGCATCGAGCGGTCCTGTCGATAGTCGTCACGCGTTTAGAAAGGGTTGGGTCCTGCGCCCGGCTAGTTCTTCTCACCGCGCCCATCGGCCACAAACAGGGTGCCCGACCTGGGTCGAAGGAACCGTCCCAAAAGCAAGCACCTCCTGAGCCCCAAGTGGTCCTCACAGAGTCATCGTCTATGGGGAAACCGAAAGGTACCAATACCGCTACTCCCCAGACCTTTCCGGAGTGCGGTCTGACCAGAATTTCGATGCGAATCCAGCGGTGGCGTCGAGGTCCTTCGAGGAGGCCCAAAGGGGGAAACCGAGGGAAAGATAGCAGCATGAGTATCTGTTCCTCCTCTGGGTCGTGGGTGCAGCGCGCGTCGCCTGCTGCCACCCGCCCCCACGCAAGCATCACCTCCGCGGCGCCCGCGGAGCCTCCAGAGAACTACAGGGCCCGCCCGATCTGCTATCCCCCAACCAGGCGCTCCGATCTCGATCGACCGACAGATCCATGGAAAGAAGAAAAGAAAAGGAGCCCAGGGACACACAAGTGAATAGGCACGAATCCCAGGAGTTCCGATCTTCTCCGATGCCTTCTATATTTTCGTCTTCCCCTTCCACTTCCCATAGTTTCCCGCATGTTCCTGGGAGGAGCACTTGCATGTGTCTGTGCCTGTTGTTCCCTCCTGAGAAAAACCTGCACGAACATACGATCTGTGATAGAAGAAGTGCCGGAACGAAGAGTGCCGGCTCACAAGACGCACAAGGTGCCTTGCGCAAGGGGTCCGTACCTATCGTGCTTATTATGCGCCTCCTCTTCCCCTGCATGAGCACGCGCGCGCGCGGATCCAATCCCAAGGGCAGTCACAAGAGCCCCGCACAAGGCACACAATGTCCCCCGCACAAGGCCTCCGCACAAGACTCGCACGAATACCCATTCTATGCAAAATAACACTATGTCGGAGGTCCGCGCGACTGTCTCGACTCGGCACTGGGCCCCCCCCCTCCCCGACGCTGGGGGCGCGCCAAAGGCGGCGCCGTCGAGGCGCCGTCGAGGCGCGGCGCCAGCCCCAGAAATCCGCACGGACGGCCGACAGTTTACGCTTGGGCTGGCTTTGCTATCCGACCGGATCCTTTTTCAGGACAATGTGCTCATCTCGGAGGCGGTTGGGTGGTCTGAACTCCTTTTTTTTTGGGGGGGGGGGGGGCCTCTGAACGATCTCGGGGGTCCCAGTGAGTGCTCAGGGCCTCGGGCGCCGAAGACGAATGAACGACCACGCTCCCGTGGCAACCATCCCAACAGACGGAAGCCGAGAACTGGATGGGACCCGAGAAAATCGATCGGGAGGGGGGGTGAAGCAAACCCTCTCAAAATCCGTCCCCGGGCCGTCCTGGGGTCCATCTGGTGCAGTTGTTCACACAGGCCAGTTTTTCACGGTGCCGAGGCCCGAAAAAGGCCCTGGGGAATCAGAAAAAACAAAAACAACAAATCTGTCCGAACCCAGAGAATCGAACCTGCCCGCCCTCCCTGCACTGCTGGCTGAAACCAGTGCTGGGCCACCTGAGACCCTCAGCCCGCTCCAGTGTTCATTCCGAGTCGTTTCTTGACGGCCCCTGGGGGCCCAGAAGCGCCACCACCCAGACGCGCCGCGAGCGGCCAAGAGGGGGACGTCCAAGAGGGGGGTGCGCAAATCATGAGCCGACGCATGTGCGCGGGCGGCCCAGGGGGGGGGGGGCAAGTGACGTACCCAGACAATCGGATGTCCCGAAGCAAACGAGACGAAGGCTTTTCATAGTTTTCGGCCTCTCGGGGCCCTTGCTGGGCTTCAGGACCGTCAAAAAACGACTCGGAATGAAAAACCGGCCCCAGGGAAGTGGTCGAGTTGTCGGGGGCCTGTGTCTCGAAAAATCGAGACGCCAGAAGTCTCGGCATTGAAATGAGAAGAGGCGCCAGGGAGTTCGGGAATCACGGCCCCAGCCAGGATGTCCCTCCCCCTAGTCTAGTCATCACCTCCCTCTTGGCCGCTCGCGATAGAGAGACATCGGTGGCGCGGTCTGAAGATCGGGGTCGTCTCGGCTCATGGCTATTTCCATCTCGCCGACGCCATCAAAGATCGACTCTTCCACTCTCTCCTCGTAGTCCAGCTCTTCCTTCACCGAGTCGTTCAGGTCCGCGCAAGTCTCGAACTCCAGCGGGGCGGCGAGTGCCACCAGGTCCGGGCGGGCTCTTTCTGAGGGCGGGGTGCATTCGAACACTCGCGCGGACTCCCCCTCCCTCCTGCCACCCTCCGCGTCCTCCTTCGCCTCCTGCGCCCCCCCACCCTGGCCCCTATCCTACTGCTACTGTTCCTTCTTCCCCACCTCCTGCCCCTCCAAACTCCTCCCCCCTCCTGTTGATTAGGACCTTCCGTTTACTTCACTATCATCTGCCTTCTCCTCCCCCGCCTCCTTCCCCTCCGACCTCCTTATCATTATCCATTTGCGCCTCATTATTATCATAATCACCATCATCATCATCATCATCATCATCATCATCATCATCATCATCATCATCATCATCATCATCATCATCATCAGCATCATCATCATCATCATCATCGTCATCATCATCAGCATCATCAGCAGCAGCAGCACCATCAGCATCGTCATCATCAGCATCAGCATCATCAGCAGCATCATCATAAGCATCAACAGCATTATTACCATCATCACCAGCATAATCATCAGCAGTAGCATCATCGTCATGACCATCACCATCAGCATCATCATCAACAACATCACCATCGTCAACGTCAACATCATCATACATCACTACATCAGCATCATCATCATTATCGTCATCATTTGCATCAGCAGCAGCAGCAGCATCATATTCCTCCTTCGTCTCCTCCTGTCCCACCTCCTCCTCCTCCTCAGCTTCCTCCTCCTCCCCGCCTCCTCCCCTCCCGCCCCCTCGCACACGCACACAATTCTTGGCGGTCGCGGCCTCGCGCGCAGCGACGAGGCGGAGTAACTCGAAAGCAGCGGAAGCGGGCGCGCGCGGCGGGGCCCTCAAGCGGGATCGCTTTCTTTGGATCGCCGCAGACGCCATCCTGGGAAGCGGCAGCCATCGCCATCCGGGCGTGGACGGCAGGGGAGAAAAAACGCTGCCCGCCACGGGAGCGTCCCACGCGGTTGTCGCAGTGCGAGCGGGTGGGCGGCAGCACATACCGACCAGGCATGGTCGGCGGGGAGGAGGAGCCAACGCTGAGCAGCACGGGCGTCCCGCGGGGCACCAGCATGGGCGTGGAGAAGGACCAGGGCAGTACGACGGCGAAGCAACGTGAGTGGAAGCGGAGGCAGGGACGGAGGGGCAAAATACACGTGGAGCCGTGGAGCTCAGCGCCTGGGCCTCCCACCGCGACTAGAGGTGAGGGAGGACGCTTCTGAGACGGAGCGCCAGACCCGGCGCCCGCCGCACACGCACACGCACACGCACACGCACACGCACACGCACACACACACACACACTCACTCGGTGGCACCGAGCCGGGGCAGAAGCCACTCGAGCGCTGTAACACAATCACACACACACACCTTCCCCCAACACTTCCCTCCCCTACACTCCCCGGCGACGACGACGACGATGACGAGGAGGAGGACGAGCAAGACGAGGAAGAGAGGGTGGAAAACGAGGAGGCAACGCGGAGGGACGGGGAGGGGGAGGAGCAAGAGGAAGAGATCGACGAGGAGGCAAAGAAGGAGGAGGAGGTAAGGATGAGGGGAGGAGGTGGAGGAGGCGAGGGGAAGGAGGAGGAGGAGGCGAAGGAGGAGAAAAAGGACGACGAGGAGGCGAAGGAGAAGGAGGCCGAGGAGGCGCAGGAGGAGGAGGAGGAGAAGGAGGAGGAGATAAGGATGAGGGGAGGAGGTAGAGGAGGCGAGGAGAAGGAGGAGTGGGAGAGAGGAGGAGCAACAGGAGAAAAAGCATGCGAGAATGAGGAGGAGGCGGAGGATGAGGAGGCAAGGCGACGACGACGACGACGCTGACGACGACGACGACGACGACGACGGCGGCGGCGGCGGCGGCGGCGGCGGCGGCGGTCGCGTTGGCGACGGCGGCCGCGACGGCGGTGGCGGCGGTGGCGGCGGTGGCGGCGACGACAACGACATCGGCAGCGACGATGGCGACGACGGCGACGGCGACAGCGACGGCGGCGAATCCGGCCGGCGGCGGCGGCGGGCGGCCAGCGGCTGGCGGCGTCGGCGGCGCCGCCCGAGGGCCCTGCGGCCGCGGCCCCGCCACCGGCAGGTCCCAGCAGCGCAGGGAGCGCTGCCAGCAGCGCCGCGGCGAGCCGCACCCGCCAGCAGCCGCCGGGCGGCGGCATCGCCGTCAGCGCCGAGGGGGCGCGCGCGCAAGGATGGGGGCAAAGACGGCGGAGGTGGCGGCGGCGACCGCGGCAACCGCAGCGACGGCGGTGGCGGCAACGGCGACGACGGCGACGGCGGCGTCGAAGGCAGCGACGGTGGAGAAGGAGACGGCGGCGGAAGCGGCGGCGGCAACCACGAAGACGACAACGACGACGACGACGACGACGACGAGAAGGAGGAGGAGGAGGAGGAGGAGGACGACGAGGACGAGGACGAGGCCGAGGAAGACGAGTGAGAGAGGGCGGAGGACGAGGAGGCAACGTGGAGGGAGGGAGTGGGAGGCGGAGGAGCAAGAGGAAGAGGACGACAAGGAGGCGAAGGAGGAGGAGGAGGAGGAGGAGGAGGAGGAGGAGGAGGTAAGGATGAGGGGAGGCGGTGGAGGCGGCGAGGAGAAGAAGGAGGAGGCGAAGGATTGAGTAGGTCTGGAGGGTCAGGTCTGCAGAACACCCCAAACGGACGTCAAGGGGCGCAATCAAACTGCTCGGTCATGTTGTAAATGAGGCACCACACTGGGCGTCAAGCCAAAACTTTGGACATAAGCAAATGGTTGGACTTTGCACATCTTTGTCGGCTAAATCGGAATGGCGTTGAACCACCTTAGCGTCCATTTTTTGGTGGTCCTGCTGAGAAAGGCGCTCTCTGACCCTCGGCCCTACTCAAGCGAAGGAGGAGGAAAACGGCGCCGAGGAGGCGAAGGCGAAGCAGCAGGAGGAGCAGAAGGAGGAGGAGGAGGTAAGGATGAGGGGAGGAGGTAGAGGAGGCGAGGAGAAGGAGAAGTGGGAGAGAGGAGGAGCATCAGGAGAGAAAGCATGCGAGAATGAGGAGGCGGAGGATGAGGAGGCAAGGCGGAGGGAGGAGGAGGGGGAGGCGGCGGCGCAGGAGGTCAGGAGGGGGGTAGGGGCAGGAGGATAAGGCGAGAAATAAAAGGAGGAAAAGGCGGAAAAGGAAGAGCAGGAAGAGGGGGTCGGCGAGGAGGAACAGCAGGAAAAGGTATGGCGAGGATGGCCAGGAGCTAGCGGACAACGAGGGGCTTGGCAAGCGCCACCGCGGGCGCCAGTGCCTCGGGCCGAAGCGCTCAGGGGAAGGAGAAGAGGAAGGCGGAGTGGAAGAAGGGGAGGGAGGGCAGCGAGTGGAAAGCGCGGCGGGGGGTGGGGAGGAGAAGCCTCCTCCTTCTCCTCCTCGCCTTCTCTGACACTCTCTCTCTCTCTCTCTCCCTCCCTCTCTCTGCCTCTCCCGTTCTCTCTCTCTCTCTCTCTCTTTCTTGTGTTTCTCTCTCTCTCTCTCTCGTGTTCTCTCTCTCTCTCTCTCTCTCCCTCTATTTCTCCCTTTCTCTCTCTCTCTCTCACTCTCTCTTTTTATTTATATATATATACATGTATCGCTCTCTCGTTATCCCTCTCTCTCTCTTTCGCTTGCTCTCTCATTGTTCCTCTCTCTACATCCGTATACATATATATAGATGTGTGTGTCTCTCTCTCTCTCTCCCCCTCTCTCTCTCTCTCTTTCTCTGTCTTTTTCTCTCCCTCTCTCTCTCTCTCTCTGTCTCTCCCTCTCTTTCTCTTTCTCTGTCTCTGTCTCTCTCTCTCTCTCTCCACCCCCGCCCCAATGTTGATCCCCCCTGCTACCCCATCCTCTCCTCCGCTGCCACCCCCCTCCTCATCCGCAACCTCATTCGCCTCCTCATCTTCCTTCTCTGCCTCCTCCTCGCAGTCGCAATCGCAACGAATCGGGTCAGCGAGCACAGAGCCGAAACTAAGACAGCTCAAACCTCCCGAGAGGATGGAGAAAGAAGAGACAGAGGCAATGGATGCCTCTGGGCAGCGTGGCCGAAAGTGAGGTCGGCAGTAGGGCCACTCTGAGGCGGGAATGGGTACTCCAACCTCTCGTTCACGCCTCCCCGTCCACCAGGGCGGATATATGCCCTGCAGTGGGGCAGGTACAGTGGGGCAGGTACTGGAGGGAGGCTGAACCTAAACGGCGAAGGCCCCTGACAGCATACAATAGGGATGGGAATGATTCTGGAGGACCCAGAGCTTCGATGCTTAAGAGCACAGATCGCAACAGCCTCGCTCGATGGAACGTCCTGAAAAGGGCCAGAGCCGTTACGACAAGTGTTGTTGGTGCTTGCCCGAATGTATGTGCCGCTCATCCCTCAGAGCTAGAAATCCGCCGACCCTGCCGGCGTGTGGAAGAGGCTGTTCCGTTTGACTCGTCTTCGTCGTCGTCGTCGTCGTCTTCGTCGCCGTCGCTGTCGCCGCTCCCTCTTTCCCTGGGCCCGTCGCCGCTCTCACCTTCTCCTGGGCACTCCTCCTCAAGCGCGCCAGTCAAAACGAAGTCGAGCAACGTCGTAATCGAGTCGCAGGGAAGCCCCTTCCTTTTGATCCCGCCCCCGCCAGGGGGGGTGCGGGGGTCCTCAGGGTTGGTCCTGGGGTGGGGTGGAGTCCCGGGGGGGGGTCCTGGGGGGGGTCCCGAGGGGGTCCCTGATCAGAATACCATCCCTCCATGGGGGGCCCAGGGCCCAAAAAAGTACCAAGACGAGCCAAGAGTGCCCCAAGAGGACCCCAAGACGGTCCAAGAGGACCCCGAATCGCCAAACGATCGGTCCAAGACGTCTTTACGGCCTCCACACGGCCTAAGAAGGCGAGAAGACGCCCCAAGAGGCCTCGGAGAGCACTCACAAGAGAGCCCCGAGAGGCAAAATTTGTTAATTTCCCTTCAGTTTTTAAGGATGAGGGCGTTCTCGCCTCCTCAGCTTCCCGACGCTCCAAAACGGCCTTCGAAGGCTCCAACGACCGCCCCAAGAGGCCTCCAAGAGGGTCCCGAAACGGGCCAAAGAGGGCCCGAAGACGACCCAAGACGCTTGCAAGACGGCCCAAGAGGCCCCCAAAAGGGCTCCAAGAGGGTGCCCAGACCGGGAAACCAAACGGACATTTCGAGCCCTCGGCCCGAGAAGCTCCCAGGAGGCCCAAAGAGGCCCCGGCTCCCAAGAGGCTCCCAAGAGGCCTCCAAGGTGCTCCCAAGGGGCTCCAAAAACTGCCCCCCAGAGGCCTCCGAGAGCGCTCCGAAGAGACCTCAAACAGAATCCCTGAGGACTCTGACCTACATCAGCGTCGTCGTCGTCGTGGTGGTCGTCGTCGTCGCCGCCGTCGCCGTCGTCGTCGTCGTCGTCGTCGTCGTCGTCGTCGTCGTCGTCGTCGTCGTCGTCGTCGTCGTCGTCGTCGTCGTCCCCTTTCAGGGTCGGCGGCAGCGGCCGTAAGGCCTGGGTACCCAGGCCGTGAGGCCTGGGTACCTCAAACGCGTACCGCAGCAGAGGGCAATCCGGTGTGGGTATGTCTGCACCCTGCCTCTGCTCGAAACTGCCACCGAGATGGGGTTGTCATTCCATCTCCCCCACAAGGCCTCCACTACCGTGTCATAAAAAATAATCGGCATTAAAATCAGAATCAGCATCTTCATTATCATCATCATCATCATCATCATCATCATCATCATCATCATCAGCAGCAGCAGCAGCAGCATCAGCATCATCATGTTCATAATCAGCATCATCAACAACATCATACTCAACATCAGCACCATCATCAACACCGTCATCAGCAACATCAGCATCATCATCAGGATCTGCATCGTCATCAGCAGTATCATGTTCGGCAGTTGCATCATCATAATCAGCAGCATCATCATCATCATCAGCATCATCATCATCATCATCATCATCATCATCATCAGGATCTGCATCATCATCATCATGATCGCCATCAGCATCATCACCATCAGCAGCAGCCGCATCAGCATTATCATCATCAGCATCATCAGCATCATCAGCAGCATCATCATCAGTATCATAATCACCATCATCAGCATCACTAGCATCGTCATCATTAAGATCATCATCATCGTCGTCATTAACCGCATCAGCATCATCATCAGCATCATCATCATGAGCATCATCATCATTAGCATCATCATTATTAGCATCATCAGCATCATCATCATGAGCATCGTCATCATTATCGGCCTCGTCATCATCAACATAATCATAATCGTCGTCGTCATTAACCGCATCATCATCATCAGCAGCATCGCCGTTGTCTTCGTCATCATCATTGTCATCGTCGTCGTCATGGTCATCAGCAGCAGCAAAATCAGCAGCATCATCATTAGCAGCATCGCCATTACCATTATGAGCAGAATCATCAGACTCGTCATCAGCATCCGCATCCGCATTATCCTCATGGTCATCATCAGCAGCAACAGCATCAGCATCATCACTACCATCGCACACAACATCAACAGCCACAACAAATACAGCAGCAGCAGTCGTCAGTTTAAGACTGTTCGCTGTCAGATGCTCACGTGCTTGGCTTTTAGCATTGGCGTTTAGCATTGGGTTTTACTTTGCAGTACCGTGCACCGTGCACTCCATCGAGAACGCAACTGTGCACTTACTGCTGTGCACTTGCGACTTTAGCACTACACACTTACGGTTAACCGTGGCGGCAGCAGTATCGTCGGGAGGAGGAGCAGCGATGACGTCGGGAGGATGAGAAGGATGAGCGAGCGGGGAGAAGGAGGAGGCACAGTGTTGGCGCCGTGTCAGGAGGAGGAAGAACAGGAGGAGGAGGATGGGGAGGAGGAGGAGGAGGAGGAGGAGGAGGAGGAGGAGGAGGAGGGGGGGGAGGAGGAGGCGGAGGAGGAGGAGGAGGAGAAGGAGGAGGAGGAGAAGGAGGGGGAGGAGTGAGGAGGAAGGAGGAAGAGGAGGAGGACGAGGGGGAGCAGCAGCAGCAACAGGAGGAGGAGCAGGAGCAGAAGCAGGAGGAGCGGCCGCGGGAGCAAATGAGCCGGAGGAACGGCATCGGCAGAGGGACGAGGAGGAAGGGGAGGCTGAGGATTTCGATCCAAATCGATCCTCGGCCGCGTGCATGTGCGCCACCCTAGACGGAGAGGACGGGGCACGTTCGCAGGCGCCCTCCTAGATATGAGAGACGTGCCACGTTCGTGCGCGCCGCCCTGGATATGGAGATCGGGCCACGTCCGTACGCGCCACCCTAGATTGCTATATATGGAGAACGGACCCCCCATGCAGAGGCACCGCACAAGATATGTTATGTAGAGCGCTGGGCCTGCACAGTGAGCAGCTCCCGCGCGACGGCCCTTCACCTGGCACTCGGCACGCGGGCCCGTGTGCGCAAGACACCTGCGACACTCTGACGCCAACCACTCCGGACAACTCCAGGAGCCAGATCGGCGCAAAAGTCGGAGGACAAATCGAGAAAACGGCGGGCGTCCCCCGCGTTACATCCGCTTCGGCCCCCTGTGAGCATTTTCTTGGTCTCGATGGGTCTGGAGAGGGGTCCGCAGAACAGAGCTGAGCGGACTTGGGCCGGTCGGGACAGCCGCCGTTTTCTCAGCTGATCCTCCTCCGAAAGAAGTGCCGCCTTCTCATCCCCAGCGCCGCATCGTGCCACCGGTCCTGCATGCCTGTCGGGATCCACATTTTCAGTGTCCACCAGATGTCGGCTTCCATGAGGAGCTCCCTGTTCAGATCGTGCTGGCTCTCCCGCCGACGAGCGGGGAGTCGGGTTTTGGGCTAAGGAGCTGGGCCCTTCAAGATTCATGGCTCCCAGAAACGTCCCCCCCCCTTCCCGAGGGACCTGAGAGGGCCAGATGCAAACCGACAGCGCGTCCTCCTCCTCCTCCCTGGATCCCCCGCACAATCCATCGGACTTCGAGCCGAGGCGCCGTGTCCTGGCATGGTGGATATGCAAAGGTGCCTTCTGCACACCCTTTCTGGGTCCCCCGCCTCGCCCATCGGACTTCGGGCCGAGTTGTTCAGGCATGGTGGATATGTAAAGGATCGTTGCGCGCTTGACGACTTCTGCTGTCCCTCGACTCGCACTGGATCTTCCACGATTTCTCCATGTCGGCCTGGATCTATTCGGATCTACCCCGACGTATGCGGACTTACCCAGATATATCTGGATGTACCTTGAGGTAACTCGATTTGTCTACCTTGATCACCGCAAGTCGTTTGGCGTAGAGTCGTCAAGCCCTTTGGGAAAAGACGCCTCCTGCACCCCCTCCGGGGGTCCCCCGCCCCGCCCGTCGGACTCCGGGCCGCGAGACTTCTGGGCCACAGGTTGCGCCACTGGGCGAGCCTCGGCGGGCTCCGGCATCGGGACGCGCTGCCTCCCGACGAAGATCGCGGGGTTGAGGCCGTCGAAGGCGTTGTCGCCAATAAGGGAATCGTTCCTGGCGGATTCGTCGTCGCCGTCGTCGTCCTCGTCCTCCTGAACCTCGTGCCCAAACCACGTCATATTCCTCCTCCTCCTTCTCCTGCTCCTCCTCCTCCTCCTCCTCCTCGTCCTCCTTCTCCTCCGCATCCTCCTCTTCCTCCTCATCCTCCTCCCACGACCCGACATAGACGACGACAACGACGACGACGACGACGACGACGACGACGACGACGACGACGACGACGACGACGACAACTACTACTACTACTACTACTACTACTACCATTACTTACGTACTACTCCTATACTACTACTAC